GCCAAACTACTCCTGTACCGAGCTACCCTACAAGGGGCGAGCTGCCCAGGGGAGCTATGCCGAGCTTCTTGTGGCGAGCTTTGCCGAGCTGCCTGGCTCCTTGGTGGCGAGCTCCTTGGAGAGCAGCTTAGCTCCTTGGCGAGCTCTTTGGTGAGATACTGAGCTCCTTGGCGAGCTCCTTGGTGAGCTACCGAGCTCGCGGGGTACGCCGCTATGGTTCATCGGTGGGCGTCTTATGGGCGGCTAGGTCAGATCATGTGCCAGGCCGATCCAGGCCGCGCCAGGCCGCGCGCAGGCTGGCCAGACCGGTGCCCGGGTGGGATACTAACTTGGTAAGTTGTTGCCTGAATGTTTGCCTAATTGTCACGAGGTGCCACGTATCGCAATTCATCAGGTAGGATTATTGTGGATAGGAGATCTGAATTCATATCCATATCCCACCCGCCCATAACCAATATTTTCTCCTTTCTTCCCAAACTATTTGGCATTGCTATTTTCGAGTTTGACCCTAATTCATCTTTAAAAACCGATTACCGATCACGACCCATGTAATACCCACCTTACATTGAAAATGAAAACTACACAAATTTTAATAGTAAAAAATTGCCACTGTTAATTCTATTTTATTGCACAAGTGCCACTCTTAATCTTTCTTTCTTTGAACAGCACAAATCTCTCTTAAATTCTAAAAAACTACACAAATACTCAAAATAGTATAAAGACGACTTTAACAAATTACCATAAACACCCCTGACTGACTTGTCTTTCTTGTTCAACGATAGCCTTATTAATTAAAAAAAAAAAATTATGAAGGCAACTATTCTTTTATATGAATTTGCTGTCTTTGATTCTGTTTTTCACGTGCATGCAAACCCTCTTTTTGGTCTGTCGTCTGCTCACTCTACACGTCACGACATAGTTTTTAAATCTATTACAGTTAACTATTACATAACACAGAGAGGTAGCTAATAGCTTCCAACCGAAACCGATACCGGTACCAATATTTACTTTTCCGTGTGCTGGGCGAAACATCAGCAGGGTTTGAGCGGAGACCCGCAGAGACAGTCGTTGTTAACAAATGAAGCTGCTTCAAGGTGGTCGAACGGAGCACCTGACGGAATTCTGCCGCACAGGTGGTTGTGGCTGAGATCCATGTGGCCGATGTAAGCCGCAGACGTTATGGATTTCGGTATCGGGCCTCTCAAGTTGTTGAACGACAGGTCAAGCGCCGTGAAGTACGATCTCGGACCGAAAGCATCCGGTATGTACCCTTCGAGCAAGTTTCGGCTCAAGTTCAGAATATTTAAGCCCGAACCACTCAACAGGCTCGTCGGGATTTCGCCGGATATTTTGTTGCCGTCTAGATTCAGCGTCGAGAGGACCGGCATTCTCCCAATGGATTCCGGGATCGTGCCGGAGATCTGGTTCATTGACAGATCCAAGTCCGCGAGACGGTAAATTTTAGAGATAGAACTGGGGATGGGGCCGTAAATCTGGTTACGGCTCAGAAGAGCTCTACTGAGCATTCGAAGCTTGCCAAAGTCACTAGGGATCTCACCGGTTATACGGTTGTTGCGGAGGTCGAGATGCATAAGAGTGGCAAGGTTCACGATAGATGCTGGAATCCTCCCTGTGATTTGATTATCGGCGACGTTCAAGACGGTGAGGTGCTTGAGCTTGCCTATACCAGAAGGAATACTGCCAGAGAGCTTGTTACCAATGAGATCGAGGACTCGGAGGTATGGTATCGAAGTGATGCAAGCAGGAACCGGGCCGGTGATTCCTTTCCAGTCGGCAATAATAAGGTTGGTGAGTCGGTTGAGCTTACAGATTGCCGGAGAGATAGTTCCGGTCATGTAACCGGTCCGCCCTGCTTTCTCGAAGATGGGGTCTTCCGACTCGCCGCGCAGGGTTAGATCGGCGACTCGGTGGACGGTTGGGTCGCAGTGAACGCCGTACCAGTTGTTGCAACAGTCGGTTCCTTTCCAAGAGTTGAAGATGCCCAAGTAAGACTCGTTGAGTGCAGCTTTGAAGGCGAGAAGAGCTGCCCGGTCTGACGGTGGGCAGGAGTTAACGGAAGAAGTAACGGCCAGTAGGAGGACTGAGACGAAGAAGACGATGCCCATCTTCTCTCTCTCGCTCGCTCTCAGTACTGTTCCTCTTTCTCTGTAAAACTGTAACGTTATCTACTCCTACGTTGGGGACTCAGCTGAGCTCTGAATTATGACGACTGACACTGCATTTATACATCTTTTCTGACATTTATGTCCCTAAATTAGTTCGTAATTTACAAATATCATAAATTATTGGGGACAAAGCTTGTGGAATTTGATGTGATCTTTGGACCGTTCATCTGGGATATACCTACGAGGAATGAGAGACGATAAAGTGTTTACAAAGGAGACATGGGGCTACGGGCTACGGCGTGGCAGATTTATATCCAGATTCTTCTTCTCAGGCTCCCTTTGGGAAGCTAGTACAAAAATGCTGACACTGTTTGTATTTGCACTCTTGCCCAACCTAAGTTGGGTTTAGTAAAAGTGCAAACACAAATCCAAGCAAATTTGTACTCTAATTCATTTTTACTGTGTGTTGATAAAAATATTCTCCGTAAATTAAAAACTAAGGCTCAGATTGAAAGGATAACAAATATAAATTTGTAGAGTATAAAACTTTATATTTTGTATGAATTTGCACTGTATATATTTATATTTGTATTCCTTCTTAATTGAGCATAAGGCTCAGCTTAGAAGGAGGCCAAATATAAATATGTAGAGCTCAAAATCTTGTATTTTGTATTATTTTGTAGGGATGTTCAAATTCGGTTATCAAATAAAAAATTTAGTCGAATTGAATCAATTAAGTCAATTCGGCTTCATTGTTTCAGTTTTTGATTTATTCGATTTTAAGATTTTAGAAATTTTGGATTTCGATTTGGTTTTTCAAATTACAATACATTCATTAATATTGACTACATGTTTATAACAAATCTCAACCAATCACATTAAGTATAATTAAGTTTCACTGGTTCACATTTCATAAAATATACTTTTACATTTAATAATATGTATTTACCACCATGTTCAATCAATCATATCTTTTGATGCATAGTGGAGCAAATGCACCATATATTTGTATAAAGTTATATTTACATTTTTGAATTTTTATAAATATTTCAAATAAGTATATTTATAAAGTAATTTTTATTCTATTAATTTGAATTGAATCTTTAATTGAAAGTACAAGAAATTTAAGGGTAGTTTCAAAATCTTTTCAATTCGAAACCAGATTTTTAATTTTCATCTACCTAATAAAGTAAAGCAAAAAGTCATAAAATTATTCATGAGATTTCAATGAAATTAAAAATCATGGCCATTTGATGCTTGTATGTATACCAATATTTAATTTCACTGGATGTGGTTTTGATGATTTAACATGATTTATGTAGATCAAATCAAATTTGATATCTGAATATGTAATAGAATCAAATTCAGATATATATGTTTCAAATATCCATTAAATCAAATTGAACTTAGATGTCTCGAATTCTTATTGGATTGAATTCAAATACACCCCTATACTATCCAAATTCAATCTATTTGTACCCTAAATACATTAAATTCGTTCTGCTATAGCTTGTGATCTCATCATAGTCACATTCCACCATGTATTGAGAATATCTATCGTAAATAATAACACATAATTTTAAGTATGGGAGATGTTCTTAATAAGGTTTAAAATTTTGATACGATACATCATATCTTTTAAAAATAGATACAGGATACGCATAGAAATTGTGCGTATCGTCTTTGTTTATACATATCGGACCTGTATCAGGGGCATATTGAAAGCATATCGGAGGTGTATCGAGGCGTATCAGTAGCATATCGACAAAAAAGATACGACCAAAAACTGAAAAAATATAAAGGGGAAAATTAAGCTTCTTTTCCTTGAAATAAGCATTCTTTCATCCCCCAAATGACTCTAAAACTCCAAACCTCATTCCTAGAGTGCTAGATTTGAAAAAAAAATTGTAAGAAACAAGTGTGAATCGTTAATATTTTTTAAAAATTTTGAAAAAAGATGGTAAAAATAGGTAAAATTTTTCAATTTTTTTATAATATCTTATAATTTATTTTTTTCTTGAATGTATAAGTTTATGTTAATCTACATTTCTTACATTCCAAATCATAATTTTTTTGTGTTATCGGTAGATTTATGGAAATTTCATGAAGATATTTGGGGAAAATATAAATTAACAAAAAATTTGAAAATGTAATTTTTTTCTCTGCCAATAAAGACTAAATATATTTTATATCTACGGATTTATCTATCATATCCATAGAGCAATTGAAATTTCTTCTTTAATATTTTTTTATTTTTTATATTTTTAGAATTAAAAAATAAAGAATAATTAATTATATTTTATCATTTGAACACAATAACTGAATATATTATAATTCTATGGATGATCTATCATATCCAAACACCAATTGAAATTTCTTCTTTAATAATTATTTTTTTTATTTTTATATTTATAGAATTAATAAATAAATAAATAATTATATTATATCATTTGATTACAATGACTGAATATATTATAATTCTATGGATGATCTATCATATCCACAAATAAATTGAAATTTCTTCTTTAATAACTATTTTTTGAATGTATTATATTATGTCTATTTTTTTTATTTTTTGAAAATAAATAATAAATAATTATTATTTAAATAATACTTTTTTATTAATTATATTTTCACTTAGAAGTTGTGCCAATGCATATTTTATGGTTGGATAGGAGAGTTGGGTTTTTCCCATCCCATAAAACATTAAAACTTAAGAATTATAATTTATAAATTATAGTAAAGCATACGATTTCCAATGAAATTATAATTAACTACAATATATTTCTTCATAAAACTATTAAAATATATTAATTTAATGAATATACACCTCATTGAAGTCTTATATTTAGTGTTGTTGATGCATTTTTATGATTTATTAAAGTATTTATAGTGTTTCCAAATGTATCTATGCGTATCTTAGTTTTTCTCCGATATGCACGCGTATCCAAGGCGTAACTCGATACATCTCTTAAAATTGCTTTGCCGATACACTTGGCGTTTCTGATACTTTGAATATTGGTTCTCAATACATGGTGGGATGTGTTTGTAAGGTTGGTGTGAGATGCTATGTGTGAGGAGCAGATCTGGTCTCTAATCTTTGGCATATTTTTTTATGAAGTAGTTGTTGTCAGATGAATCAGTATTCTCACATTTATCATCATGAGATTTTACTTGATACACCCCAATGTGCTGGAAGGGATTGGTGCATTGATACTTTGAACATTGTACAAGGGGCATTTTTTTATGTTATTTAATCATTATAAAAAAGATCTTAATAATACCTTAAAATTGATACATGACTAAGCAAAAGATATGATACAATACATCCAATACAGAGTATAGTGTATCAAAATTTTAAACCTTGCACCACTAAATTCGAGTCTAATCCAACACATATGATTCAAATTCAAGCAGTTTAAGTGTTTATTAATTGGACCAAATATGGACCATGGAGCTACCCCAATTCAATCCACTAAAAAATAACCATCAAACTAACTTGTATTTATTTTTAAATCAAGTTCAATGATACCGGAAATGCATGATGATGTCTAAAACAAACTTATTCATGAGGCAGGGTTTGATTGGTCAAAGTTCTTCCAATATCATACATTTTTCCAATAATGATAGCATGTTTTCTTTATGATATACAATAAAGTTTTAAAAATCAATTCAGAACCAGAACCGCTTTGACCACTGGTTTCTAGGTCAACAGTTCAATTGTATGGTTCAAACGGATGGCCCGTTCCAATTTAAAAAATAATAAAATAATAAATAGTCAAAACCATTATCTGAGTTGAACGAGTCAATAGTTCGACCGCCTGGGTCAATTGGTCACTGACCAAGCCAATAATTTTCGACCAAAGATCAAGTTCTAGGTAAAACAGAACCGGTTGCCTGAACAGTTCTTAAGCCAAACGATCCGACTATTTGGATCAACAACGGCTCAAAAACACTAATAGACAATATATACAAAATCATTTTCAATTGACTGTATTAATAAATACAATATTTTTATGAGTTTTTACAATATCCAAATATAATTGAATCCCACGGATAAGATTGGATTGAAATGTGAAGATCAACAGATCATATTCGGATCTAGTAGGTATGCCATAAGTGTGAGTCTAAATGAGACATTTCAATGAGATCTTGCTGGTTATCTGCATGGGGCTGATAGAGTGACAGGGACCCTAGCTAGAGAGGAGAAAGTGATATGTTTGTTAAGGTGTCAGTCAATCGCCCATGTATTTCCATATCCATTGATCCATCCCCTCTTAGCACACCCATCACGAGTCACGACTCCTTTGAAAACTCTTCTTTGGCCATATCTGCGACATCCCATTAACTATTTCCAATTGCTAACATGTGCAGAGCTGTTGCTCAAGGGAAGCACTGGTCTAAATCACTTCGGAAATGAACAGCTAACTAGCTTAGCTAGCTATACTCTCTTCACTTGTGTCTTATAATTACTATAGAAGGGGATGTGATGTAATGCCTTTATATATGTAGTAGAATCAATAACAGAGATATCACAAACTCATCATTTGCAATTTGGGTGAGTTTTTTTACTACCATGATATATTACCATCATCATCTAAGCCTTATCCTAACTATATAGGATTGGCTATATGAATCTTGTTTTGCCATTTGTTGGAAGAAGATTCAAAATTTCAAGAATCTCTCATTCCTCCCTTGTACTCTTTGAATTTTCTTTTTTTCTCTTCATTTATTTAAATATATGAAAAGATTCCTTGTCCCATATTGCTTGGAAAGGGAGTTGAATTTGAGTATATCTATAGACTTGGTCTCGTAGGGACCCATAGGAGGAAAGCACTATAGATGTTCACATGCATGTGAGGAGGGTTATATATGCGCTACACCAAATCATTTTGGTTTTGACCGGTTTGACTTTTGTATTTCAAAATTTATTTTTAAACGTTTTCCTTTTTTGTTTTGTGTCTCTTTGAATAGGATACTTTTGTGTCCATTTGGGTGACTGAGAACACTCGATAAAAGAAGTGTTAATCGACCCAGAAACACAAATCAATGCACACAACACAGCTTTCTCTCTGTCGAATGTCGATTTTTTGAGCATCATCCT